TTTGCATAGACTGTACATGTGCGATTGTGTAACGTTTATGTGACAACGTGACACTATCGAGTTGGCGTTGAGCGATAAAACCACCTTAAATGAGAAAAAAAAAACCAATCTATTTTCTTAGTAAAATTTTGATTAAAATTCAAAATTCAAATTATAGATAATTTAAAGTCATATTACATCGCATATAACACAAAATTGGATTTTCAGATCAATTTTAAATTGACCTTAATACAGAAATTTTATTTAAACATTACAATATAGTTGTAGATTCAAAAGTCGAAAAAAATATTATATTCTGAATTTTTCATTGAAAATGGCTTTTGAGATTTCGCGTAGATTTTACGAGACGCTTTGTATATTAAACGAGAGTGTACAATTTCCAAGTAAAATTAATCAAAGCACTACACCCGGCAATGAAGTGGCGGATGGCCTGGTAAAGCTGAGAACTCAGATGGACTCGGACTGGACAGACTGTCGGCGTCCCCCTTGCTTTGGTAAAAAAAATTATCAAGAGCTACTTAGACCGGAAGCACCTAACTTTCTGAGAGGCCGTGAGTGGCTGCAAATAATTCAAACAGGAAACTATATTCCTGCTGCTTGAAAATAGAATGAAAACATTTTTAAGAATAAATGGAGACAAATATATATGGAAAACTGATAATGGTCTTCTTACGGGATTCTCAGAACTCGTCTATTCGAACTCAGACTTGCTGAGCATTGCCAATTATGTGGGATAGAAAGTGAAGACAGCGCTAACTTACAAAAGATAGAAAAGATAGAAGAGGCTGCATATTTCTTGAGCTTCAAAATTTTATAGAAGAAAATAAGATAAGCTATATATATATATATATATCTCATAAACTTTGTGCGTCATTCTGGGCTGGGATTGATTAAAAAACGAGGAGAGGCATTCACAGAGAAACTTTCTTTAGAGGCAGGTGATAGAGACTGCCTTAGCCTCACCCGTGATTATTACTACTACTTATAGTGAACGCTCCGTACATCCACAACCTACGTATTTGCTTCCTTTTTTCTCCACCGGAAGAACGCATTAAATCCATTCGAACCCATGGATCACGCTGTTTTGCCGCCAAGGTAGAGTAGAGAAAATGATCTTGGGTTGGAGTGATTTACAGTTGCGAGAACGGGATAGGCTGTAAAAGAAAGCCGCGGATCCAACAGGTGGTCGAAATAATTTCTTTGCGATGTTGGCGGCAGGAAATCCAAGGGCAATGTTTCTGTTTGTTTGAGAGAATGATGATTCACGTACACGCATAACGACTGTGTTTTCTCCTTTTCCGCGCGTGTTCCGCTACGAAGTACCTTATTTGTACACGTTTCACCGTTTTTCGAGATTTAGAAGGTATAATTAAGCACTATATGCATCCAGTTTTATTCCCACAGAAATGTTAAATATTTCGATTATTTTAATCGACATTCTAAAATAGTTCGGTATATCTGTTTATTGCTAAGAATTTCGTCATTTCGTATAAATTAATGATTGTGATAATATAGTATAAATCTTCCCCTTTTTTGAGAATAACTCTTAAATTTTGTAATATAATCAACAATATATCAAAATTGTATATAAATAAAATATATTATACTGTTTGAAATTTGTTCTAAAATTTTAGATTTACGTCTCCGAAAAATTTACGGTTTTCTCACGCTGAAGTAATCGTGCTGGAATTAATATTCATATTAACGTAACATGGTAAAGCCATCGTTTCGTAATATCGTATCAGAACATTTAGATATAACAAAGCTTAATGTTTGGGGGCGACAAGTATGCCAAGGGCGGTTAGAAGCCGTTAAGAGGTTGGTTCCTGTTGAACGTTCAAGCAGCGTGATACAATTCCGGACGTCTGCGATCTGTTAATCGCTATTATTTATAGCGACAAAAATATTATATTTCCTATTAGCGATTAACAATTTTAATACGTAGACTACGATAAAAAAAATTACTACTTAAATTCTTCTGGTGATAACATAGATATGGATGATAAACACGACGGTGATACCTACGGTTAACGCGTGTAACGAGCTGTTTCATGTTTTCCAACAAAGCGTAATTCGATTAAGTTGTCGTGTTTTCGAAACGGGCGATCCGTCGACGGGGGATCGCTTTACGAAAAACGCACCGCCACGTTAAAAAAAAAAGAGAAAAAAAAATAACCCGCTTGCATCTCGCACGACTTGCGGTTTGCGGTGGAAAACCGATGCGACCGTATATCGCGGATCGGCATGCGGCAACACTCGTGTATCATGTTACTCAATCCGTCGACACGCGCGTTATTAGAAAACTCACCCCGTCTTTTGCACTTTGATGAGATCGTCATATATAAAGGCGGGCAACAAATTTGACTTATACATATATATTATATATACATTGTATAGCCGGCCGACCAATTTGATCATCTAAATAATACAATGTATCGAAAATAGAATATTATTTCGAGATATAGCATTACTTAATGCTATTGTATAATAAAATATACATGATGTGAAACATGATATTTTGGAAGATGTGCGTGCTAACTAACTAATCTGCGTGTTGTCATCGCTTATCGCAATTTGATATTTGTACATCTTGATATCCATGTCAATCTTTCGATAAATCTTTTTTTTTAGAGCTCTACAGAGCAGTTAGCGAGGTGCAGCACTATAACGTTGACAGACGAAATCGCGGAGAACAGCGTAACGGCGTCCCGTACCGAAAAAATCATGAGTGTCTGCAGGAAAACGTTTCGCTGGATATTCATGGTAGATCTGGTCTTGGCGTTATTGAGTAAGTTCCGAATTCTTATGTCTATCGCTTGAATCTCCAAGTACTATTTTATTTACAGAAGTTCGATAAATTCCCTTCTTCTTCTTAAAACGTTTGAAAATTCTTAATATGTTTCAAAAAGAATTTTTTAAGTTTAAAAAGACGAAGTCCGAAAAGATAGAAAACGGCTAGAAAAAAATATCACAACTGATCACGTCGCTTCTGATTAAAATAAGAAAAAATTTTAATCAATTTCCATTAACGAAAACGTAAAGTTGATATCTCGTTTTTTCTCATATTTTTTTTGCTTTAAATCTCAGCAGTTTATCTTGAATTATTTTAAACTCTTTTTTAGGGAAGAGTTATAAAACTATTTGATTATATTATAATAATAAAATTCTGAAAATGGGATGTTAATTTCACTTATAAATTTGATATAATGAACAATCACTTTCCTCATTTATGTCAATTTATGTAATATTTTAGTTTTCGTTTATTTTTTTTTATATTTTGTAACTATTATATCGTCAGCGATTAGTAAGTTACAAAAATCAATTAAGTTAACAAAAATGACGATGAAGGGAAGTAGCAAGGGAAATTGTACGAGTACATTATTTGTGCAGCAATCCTGCAAATATTTAAATCGATTTTATTCGTTTGCTTCCGTATGGAAGAGATTACTTTTTTATTTTTCGAACAAAAACTTGTATAATCTCAGTAATTCTCAGTATTCCATTAACAATAAGTGAAAATATTTATCTATCGATACGCGAGTACGCGCTTTACGAAATTTGCGATTAAAGATTGCGAAAATAATCATTTTGTTACGTAATTCTCGTAAATTGAATTTTGGAGTTTTATTTATTGTTCTCGATGTGAATGTAATTTCACGTTTATATCGAAAATTCCATAAAATGAATTTGAGGATTATCCGCATACACATATTTGATAATTTTCAGATTTTTACATGAAAATCCACAGCTATAGTAGATTTCTTTCAGAAAAGACTCATTAACGTTGCTTTTTCACCGTATATTATCCATTTTAACGTTTGGAAAATTTCATATTATATAGATTTTGCGGTTACTTGCTCGATGCAAGTCACCACTGCCTACTCCGGTAACGCCTATATGATAGCCAATTTGCCGAATCTAGTATTTAAAGCCCGTTTCGCTAATTGAGCGCAGCATGGCTTTTATTAGCCCCATAAATATTCCGTGACCGGCGAATGTGCATGTCTTTACCCGACGGGAGGAAGTGTTAGCTTGTTAACTGACGCGACTGGCGTTATTGCATTAGCAAGCAAACCGTGAACAGTCGGAAGTGTACATGCCGCGCATTCTTCCTGAACGGCTAAAAGCGCGAAACTTCGCGGAAACTAGCGCGCTATTGTAGTTAATTTAATCGCGAGCGTTCTCGCTGGCAACTATCTCGTTTGTGAAATTGTGATATAACTTTCTTTTTGATCGAAAAAAAAAAAACATCAAAAGATATCGCATATTTATAAATGAGAAATTAAAATACGGAGAAATTGAATGAGATGTAAAAGTTCTAATAATACAACTTTATTATTGTTTCATATTTTCCGTATTTTATCGCATCCAAACATTTATTTTTTGGACTGTACATTATTGATATTTATAATTTTGTGAAAGATGGAAAATTGTTGGATCTATTTTTCTAATACATTATATCGCTTCATCGATTTTCTTGTATAAACTAAAATATTTAATTAATATAATGTTATATATCGCATTGAAAAAAAGAGAGAAGAGATAAAGCTTTTGCGTCTGTCAAGATTAACTCTGTCTAGACTCTCGGTCATTTTCTAATCAATCGTTATTCGATACGAAATCAAACGCGAATAACAGACGCGGAATAGAAACGCGAGAATCGGATTCCGACCGCGGTACTTGTCGGTTTTTTCCCCCCTTCGTTTTCTTTCTGTCGCTTATGCGGTACGAGTGCAGTCTTTTGCATGGAAGCGCATTCGCCACAGGGTGAAACCACGCGTGTAATGAAGCCTGACAGGGAAACCACGAGCTGTGTAATGCAATATTACGGACGAGTGTTTGACTAGAATTTTTACGGGTGTGCCGCTTTGTGTAATGCAATATATTACGGGCGGGGTGTTTAATTAGAATTTTTACGAGTGTGCCGCTTTAAATACCCCTGTGCATCTGTCGCGTAATGATGGCAATGAGCTCGTTCTAAGCACGGTATGCGACAATACAAGCGTACGAATGTTATTTAATGGGCATCTCTCTTATATGTGGAAAGAGCATCCGAAGTAACGTACTAAGTTTCGAGCGAATCATAATGAAAGTTGGACGTGTCCCCTATATAGTATATACATTTATTGAGATTGATTTTATCTTTATGCAGGAAACTAAAATATATCTCTCTTGATAAAATGTCATCTTGATTAATGGGATTCGCAAAAAAGTGCCAAAAAGTTAAGAAAAAAGAACAACGAAATTGTATGCATTTCTTCTTCATTCTATGTATGCTTATAGTACAATAAATTATTTCAAATCAGATTTACTTAATCTTAATGATTCTAGTTTGACAAGAGTCAAGTTCATTTTATAAACGAAAAGTAAATATTATGTGGCGATTGCATCGTCACTACTCCAATTGTCGATTACAATTGATCAGTTTCTTATGGCTTAAGGCTTACTACACCTATTGTGTTTTAGGACTTAGGCGTTTTAAGATAAGTGGGTCAGGAGGGATCCTGAGATCACTTATAGTTTACTTCGACTAGGTTTATTATAGGATGTAATAGGTTCGCTAGGATATGATCTCTTTAGAACCTCTGTTTATAAATAGGACCTATATAGATAACGTGTGGCGTCGTTGCGTCACAGCACGTAACAATTCGCGAAACAGATCAGCAATTCGGTCGCAGAAAAGAAACGATAACATAACGTCTGACAAATAACGAGACAAACATACAGTTAGGTCCATTGACATATAGGCAGGAAAATAACGACGCGTGAATTCGGACTTATAAAATTTTTATTGAATTGCATTGGTTTCCCGTGGCATGCAACTTAGTAAAATGTAATTGTAATATCGTGCGCGCCGAATGACAAGGTAAATTCAAATCTTAAAGGTTATTAGAAACTATAAGCGCCGATAAAGAGAAAACAATGGTACAGAGCTTAAAATTTAAATACCCTCGCGTAAACACAGAGAGAAAAAAGGTATAGATATAGGCTTTAACGAAGACAGATCTGGCGACTGATCGGAAAATAAAATAATACAATTACGGCTGTGAGACACCGACGCGTGTAGACGTGCGATGAGATATTGTAAGATATTTAAAATAAATTCGGACTTAAAAATTGTGACCGTATAAAACGCCTCAGATTAATTACTCGATCTATCGAAATCCGTTCCTACATTCAGAATAAAATCGCTAAAATTGAATAAGTTAATTTTAAATTAATGTTACTTTCAGCGGTGATGACTGATCTTTAATCTCTTCTATTTTTCTCAGTCGCTGCTTCTCAGTCGCGTGTCGCGAATGAACTCTGCACAGATTTTCGCAGGAGAAAAAAATATGTATTCCGAAATATCAAACGGGGCTTTAACCTCTTAAATGATTACGGTGCAGCCGTGTACGTCACACTAGTGGGTGTTGTGTTCTCCCCCGCAACGCTTGTGGCGTACAGATGTATGCCACTCGTCGCCCGTTCCTCTCTCTGGCACGCACATATGCAGCGAGCGCGACACGCACGATTAGTCAGGCTCGGATTAAGGAGAGACTCAAGACTAATTTGAGTTTAGGGATCGTCCTAGGGACGTAAATGTGCACGCACACACGTTTAATACAACGCTGGACCGACCGGATCACGTAGAAGTTAAAACGTTGGTCCGGTCCATCTTCTTGATCACGAAACCGATGCGGGATCATGCGATTTAACGGTCGTCCGTCGGCAAGCCAGATCCGCGAAGTGGAACATTATAACGAGCTGCGTACTGAGAGCATAATTTTTTAAATATTAGCCGAGAAAAGAGTGACTTCTCCGTGTGTGAGTGTGATGTTAAAAAATACAATTACAAAATAGAATGATAAATATATAATAAAATATAATATATGTGGAATATGACATGCATATTTACGATCGTAAAATAATTATTAGAATAGAACGTAATAATATAAATATTGCCAGACAAAAAAAGGATTAATAAATAATAAAATTAATAGATCTTGACACACACATTTTAATTTATATACTTCGATGATCTCGCAGCTACAGCTGATTACATATATACATATAAATATACGTGATCAAATTTTTAGAAGAACATCTTCAGTGTGTCGAGTTAATATCTCACAGTTTCTCGGCTTACATAGCTACACGTCGAAATACATTAGGAATGAATCACGATACACGTTGCAATTCCCTCGTCTACTCGTTTTTCTCTCCGCCACGATGAGACATCCCTCATCGCGAAAGTGTGACAAAGGGCACTTAATCTCCGTAATTTGCTCGTCTCGTTCGTCTTGTTATATATGATAGCAATAATTACTCGTGGACGCGAAAGATCAAGGCTGCCGCGAATCCGGAGATGCATTGCAAAGAAAACGAGGGTGACATTTGATCAGGTTGGACGGATATTTGATCAGGTTCCCGAATTTGTCTGCTTCTCTGATCGAAGATAATTTATTCGCTGCGAGTAATTTGATGAGCTTTATCTCCATATAAAAATGAAAATGGAAGAATTATACATTCATATGTGTGTATTCAACAGCATTATTATTCGGATTATTCAAACGTAGCTGTTTCGGTAATTTAGTGATTGGTAAACTCCATTTTTTAATTTAACGCAAAGAGAGAGAGATACTTGCGTGTAACATAATATGATTTATTCGAGTTTCGCAGAATCTTTTTCGATGAATTTTAATTGCTCATAATGACGCTGAATATTTAACTTTATAATAAGATGACTCAGGCCAAATCTATCTCTAGGATAAATAGGAAACGCGTCAATTTCGATTTGCGTAGTGAAAGATTCATATACCTTGTTAAATTGTTAAATTGATTCTGAGAATTTTTAGTGGATTCGTCATCAACATCACGTGAAATTTAAGCGCATTCTCTGGATTCTTGGTGAATTTTGCATTAAAAAACAATATATTATTATGCTACAATATTATTTATTATATCAAGTTATTAAAATAATACTAAATTATATATATGTGTTTAATGGAATAATTGATAAAAATTATATTGATTATTTACGCGCCTGTTACAAGACTTAGCACTATAGTTTTATTTACATTGATTTTACATTTACAACGATGATAAGCATACTGTTTACTACGAATATGTTTGCGAACAATAAGCATACTGCAGGTTAGTATTCTATTATTAACTCTTTGCTCAGTTGATACTAATTTTTTATTGCTCCCCACTTGTTTTTTATCTTCTTATGCATAGTTCTATCTTATCTCGTAATATTCAGCGTAAATTATTCTAATTTATAAAATGAAATTTAAATCGTTTAATCGCATTACAGTTATATAAACACTTAATTACCTCTTATAAAAATTTATGATTTTGAAGTCTGGAACTGTGGGATTATACTTGATTATTCTAGACGGAGATATAAAATGCGCAAATATCTATCTAAGAAAAAAATGTGCAAAATGATTTATATCATATTGATTTTCATCAAATCCTTAAGCAATTAAAATTGTCAAGAAAGATTCTACAAAAATCGAATAAATAATTCAACAATTTGAATACGTAATTATCAAGCAGTCTATTAGCACATGTCGACCGTCACACATTTATACTTACAAATAAAAGCAATAATTCCGGACGAAATAATACGCATTGACATAAATTCTTGACAAGCTTATTTTTTACATTTTTCGATGGCAAGTCGATAAACGAAATTCTGCACGAATAAAATTATTATTAATCTTTTTAACATTCCAACAATTGATCTCTGCAGAAGACAACTGTTCAATGGAACGATTCAATGGAATGTAAATGTTGGAATGAAATGCTTAACGCGTCTCTTTAAAAAATGGAATTAAGAACCAAATTTAAGTATGTAAAAAAGTATAGTCATTTTTAAGAAAATAAACGTTGCAATGATATCGCGGATAATATCACGTTGTATTTAATGTTATATTATGTAAAAACGGCATAATTTTTTTATATTATTTATTGTTTATTGATAATGTACAAGGCGTAAAATGTGTTTTATATATAAATTAAGCTTTGGAGCGTTCGTATCACTCGCTTTTTTTTTACGTAAGCGAAAATCGTAATTACCACACGATACTCGGCGCGTGAGGTAGCACATTATTTTTTTTTGTGCCTTGCGCGACTAATTGGATTACGCGCCGAACGTGCGCGTTTTATCTAACAAAAAGGCTACGAGCGACACGTGGCGGGCGCACTCGCGCTTGACGGAGCCAAAACTTATGAAGTTTCCCACGTGGAAAACGCATTTTCGAGTCCACAGAGAGAAATCGTTGTTTCTCGAAGCATTCTTAGTAATATGATTGCGGGGAAAAAATTTAATTTTTTGAAGGCGGATGTCGGTCTCGCCGTTCATCTCTTTTACGTACCTACTTGCGCAATAAAAGTGACTGATGTTTACACAACTTGTTTTTGAAAAAGCCTAAGTCATTAAAAATTTTTACTTATAAGTATACGTGTTATCATTAACACAATTTTTAACGGCAAAGTTTGCCTTGAGGTAAACCATAATAATACACAGCATAGCTACAATATACATACCATATTATCAGATCGCACGTATTACATAATATACTTTAATGTGTCTAAAAACTCTAAATAATTTAATTATTAATCTTGAAACCTTCAGAATTCTGGCAAAGCTCTGAAGACACTTAAGATTAATAATTAATTCTTTTGGATTTATTAGATTCATGCATACGACACTGGCTAAAAACATTTTTGTATTCTACAATATTACCTTTCTTTAGACCTTCGCTTCTGTTTTACAGCTGCCTTTGCATCCCTTATTCCAGTTCGCCAAACCCTTACTGCAATTCTGATGCTCTTATACGCCATGTATATGTTTGCACAAGAAAGAGAGAAAGGGAGTTTGCGCATAGTAATTTACCTACAATAACTTATCCATCGATGTCACAATATCATTGAGCTGTCACTTTGCTAATCGTCGTACATCCGTTAAGAAATCTTTTTCGTAACCATAATGGAAATCCCTTTGTTGTGGAACATGCGGTGCCTGAAATATCAGCGTCAGAATGAGTAATCCGGTGTTACTTCCTTGCGTTTTTTTACTGACAAATTTCCTACTTGAATACATCGTAATTGATATGAGGCATCCCTACTTTTAATGGATAATCAGTATTTGTATAGAGTACATTGCTTCCGGTATAACATTGTATATCAGGTACCGCCTTTCATGTTTACAGATTTTACAATTACAACAAATGCGAACAACAGATCGATAGATACGTTACATGCCGTCAACGGCTTAATAAAATTACAGATGTGTATGCATTGACGCGTATATTGGCATAATTTACCTATAGAATTATCATTTAGATAATTGACTGAACCATTGTTCGCTTCACCGAACGACTATATTATTGATATTCGCGTGCACGCTATACGCGCCAAACCAATATCCCTGAGTATCTAATATTTATGACCGGATGTATTGAAATTCGGCTAAATTTGATTTCGTCAGCGCGTATAATATACATAGCCTAATATCGAATCTCCTGATATTTGAAGATACGCATAGATTCGAGAGTTATGAACTTATTAAGATTTTAAACACTTCATCGTATGGTTTATACTTATTTACATTTTACTTTGTATTTTATATAATCATATTTTTCCTGAAAATCTCAAATGTGTGCTCCAAAAAGTTTCTCGCTGAAATCCAAGATTGCGGAGACTTCGCTTGATTTTACAGAGGTTTTTCTTTGCAAAACTTTGCGTGTCTATCGGATCAATACACTTATCTATAAATCACGAGTCTAAACATGGATGTCATAAACCCGGGTCAATCGTTTATCTCCTCCCACCGTTTTCACCCGCTGCTTCGAAAGGACAGAATATTTTTCGCGGCAATTGGAAATGCAGTGATCTCGCGCGCGTCTCGACTGCGCACGCGCGCTAAATCGCGCAATGATAACGTGACGTGCGGACTCCTCGTCGCGGACCTCGCGGTCAGAACGCTCGTCGCGTCACGGACGAGCGAGCCGTGTACATGGCGGTGTCCGTCGTCGGAACGACGTTTTCCATCCTTTCGCGAGATGCGCGATCGTCCGCTCGTCGATGACAGGACGATGCTCCGTCGCGAGGAAAAGCCTTCTACCGTGAGCGAGAGCGGAAGAGAGAGAGACGGGAGAGCCGAGGAGAGACGGAAGGTGACGTCACGTCTGCGGACGATCAAATGGTTTCGTCGCAATTACTTCGCTGTCGGTGCGTACGAGAGAAAAAAAAACACAGAATATAGATGAGTACATATAGAGCAGATAAGGTAGTGGTCGGTCGCGCGTGCGCGCATTATCTTGATTATAAATTATCCGATCGCGCTCTAATCACGACGGCTTAGCGTTCCGGAAATGTACTGACAATACTGAAAATCTATACAGTACGTATATCTATATGTATGTAATACGTAACGTGAACTTATATAGACTTTCAATATAATCGACTGTATTGAATCATGCGTATCTTATACGATACGTCAAAAAAATGCATCACATTAATCTTGCATGCTAACTCGAAAGAACAGACTTCTTTTTTTTAAGCTGCGACCGCGAAATTCGTGCGAAACTCGCAAAAAAAAAAACGTCTTCGCCTGTCTGCGGAAATTCGAAACGACATGGTACATTGACTACGTTTGCGCGATCGCCGACGCGTTTGCGCGTTCCGGAAATCTTATTTATCTCTTACGCAATTCGTTGGAATTTAAACGACTCATTCCGTGATTACTCATAAGACAAATTGATTTATGAAGGACCGTGATTGACTTATCAGAGAGATTATCAATGCAAATTATTGTGGACTTACGCTATGAAGTATTTTTCATCCGAAACGAACGTTAGAATTATTAAGGAGTACTAATACGTAGCAGGAAAAGTTTCGCAAAATTTTCCTCCAGAAGAGAGAAGTCGCAATTTCCTGATAATGCGATATCCAGTTACGTATACGTGAATCCTGTAAATATGTGAACTTTTGATTTATGAGACTTCTATTATCAGATTTTATACATATATATGTATGTATAAGATTAATATTCTCGCTCGGTTGTGTAAGTTTTACTGACTAGATTGTAAATTAGTATTAATTAATTTTTAAGTATTTTTAAAAATATTGTATCGCAGAGTTGTGTGTGCGAGATATGGGGGAAGGTTATTCTGAGAGAATCAATAAATTGTTGTTTATCTATTCTAATTCGCGACTGTTTGCTGCATTTCTAGTGTGTGTACTCCTGGGGATCTTGGAATTCAACACGACACCGTACCAGCAGATCGGCTTCTTATGCAACGACCCGAAGATCTCGTTTAAATTTACGGGTGACACAATCTCCTTTGCACTATTGCTAAGCCTCAGTATCATCCTGCCTTTAATAGTGGTATGCACTTTATGTTTCACATATTTTATTTTATATTGCTCCTTCTAATCTTGTACTAAATTCGTGGAAAAAAAATTGTTGTTCAAGCTCCATATAAGTCGCCTATGAAAGATATTTTAAGTTGAACGTGCTTTATGCAAATAATGCTATTTCAGTTAAGTGTTAAATTTACGATTTACATTTTCTTTATCTTTATGTAAAACGGAAATGTAATTCAGTCTCAGACTAAATTAACTACTATATATAGTGTCCCATAAAGACAACGCTTAAAAATAGATTCCTGAAATTACTTTAAAAACAAAAATTTTAATACCAAAATATCGAGGCTTTAATAATTTTGAAATTATAAGCATTTTAGGTTAGCGAATTAGACTGCCTAATATATATACATATATATATATATATGTATATATATATATATATATATATATATATATGGTATATATGTTATCTTTTTCTAAGATATTGAGCCGTGGAATAATACTCTTAAATTTTATTATAGAAATATTTTTTTATTTAGAACTAAAAAGTTTGATGCAAGAATCCAGTGAAGTCTTAACTTATAAGACGATCGAATTATTTAGTAATAAGAAAACTAAAGAGTAAGGGGATATATTTCTCTCTCTCTCTCTCTCTCTCTATATATATATATATATATATATCTCCTATATATTTTATAACAATTTCTACTATTCGGAACGAGTGGCAATATACAAAAAGAAATTTACAACATATGGCGAAAAGGAGATCCATAATCCTTTTTTTTTTCTCTCGATTCAGCTTGATTGAAACGCGAGAACAGCCCGGAATTCACATTACACAAGGATCCTTTTTGATCGATATTTCAGATATGGATCGCGGAATACCTCTGCTATTCTGCCGACAGTTACGAGAGCGCGTCGTGTTACGGCTCTACCCGGGGTAGACAAATCTGGCGCTGGTACGGACACTACGGCTCGGGGATTACGTCGCTCACGTTCGTCATCGAGATCATGAAACTCCTGATCGGCGAGCCGCGGCCGCACTTTCTCGACACGTGCAAACCGCGCGAGGCGGTCAACTGCACCGATGAGTAAGCACCCCGGCCTCCTCTTTCCTTTGTCCCTTGGCTGGCTTGCCGCCTAGGCGCAATCGGGTCGAACCTTTATTCGTCGTTGGCGCGTAGGCAGCCCGGTGGACACGAATGGCGTGTTCGTGGGCCTGTTACGCGACGCGGGCTCCGGCAAAGAAAAACGAAGGAAATACGTATGCCGGGCACCTACGTATAATTGCATAAGTTCGCAGCATACCGAGAGATAAAACACGAAGCGGATTCTTGTGTTACTTACTCACTTATACGCGTGTCACAGAACGAATCGGCATGCACGTTTTTCTATCAACTATTTTTATCAGATCTATTTTTTAATGTAAAAAAAAGCGTGTACTTTTATATAATCGCGTGGGAGAATATTTATCAATTGCGAGAGGAAGGTAAATTGACTCGCTGCTCAGATACGTGCAGTCGGTTATATAGAGTTCTATGATACGTTCAATTTTGCTGCCAGATATTATCTGAAATTTTTTTTATATCATTCAAGTGCCTTCAAATATATTCGCGGTAAAATAAAGTAATCCGTTTGTCCGTATTTTTCGTAAAATCGTATCGATGAAAACTGCATTTGGAATTTCGCTCAGAATTGTTCAAAACGTTTGTTTTAAATTTGATCCCAATCTGTGCCTAATCCCAGACAACAAATACAGAGACGTTTTCGAATTTTTTTCGCAGATACTTCAATTCTTACACATGCACGAATACCGAGTTCTCCAAGTGGTTCATCAATGACTCCAGCAAGTCCTTTCCCTCCGGTCATTCGGCTCTCTCCGTCTACACGAGCATCTTCTTAGTGGTAAGAAAAATTCTCTTTCACAACGTAAAACCTTGACAGGTTATTTTTTTTATAACGTAAATAAATCGGGAAAGAAAAAACCAGAACGCGCGAACCAGCAGTTTATCCGTAAAGCTCGACAGTCCGTTGGCAATACAGAGAACTGCGGTGTCAGCGTCGAGTACTTCCGGTCTGATATCGATGGTCAGTATATCCAAGCGCGACGGGAAAGAATCCGCAAAAAAAATCCACCGGTGGCATATCGATTTTCGCCGGGACGCGCGCGGCAGACAGACGAATACGAGAGAGAGCCGCGAAATAAATTCTCGGAGATACGTAACTCGCTGCGAAATAAGAAAAAAAAATCGAAAGGGCAAGAACTTCAGCCAAAGTGTATTACGGAATCGTATTTCCTCTTCGCGCATTCCATTCTCGCTATATACCGAATAAAAAAACATTGCCTGCAGAATAATTCGAAAATAGAACTTGCAAATACGTGTATATATATATATATATATATATACTTATATACGAGCGTTTCCGTTTTCTTTTATCGTTTTGTAAAAAAAAACGATTCGCCTTTTGTCGCATCCGCACACAGTGGTACCTGCAGAACCGTCTGCCGAATCGGACGTTGTTTCTGAAACCGTGGCTGCAGTGTCTGCTAGCCATGTGGGCCGTTACGTGCTCGATGACAAGGGTGGGCGACAACCGGCATCATTGGTGGGACGTTCTCGCTGGCGACGTCCTCGGGCTTCTGTTCGGCCTGTTCGTCGTGGTGGTGTCGTGCCGGCACTTTTGCCTCGAGCGCACCGTCGCCGTCGCCGTCGCCGCCGCCGCCTCCGCCGCCGCCAATGCCGGCGCGACGCACGCCCTTAACGAGTCCCTGGAGAACGGCCAGATCGGCGGCGGCTACGACATGCAGCGCAAGCACAACACCAAGAAGCTGCTCGCTCCCACCGACGTCGTCGACGTCTCGGAGGGTCGGGAGATGAAGGACGCCACGAACTGGAGGGAATGAGCGCGCGAACGACGTCGTTCGCGTGAACGACGAGGGGCGGACGATTTCAGGGGCGGGGATGGGGACGAGGGAATATATATAGAATCGAGATGATCGAATCATTCGTTCACGGAAAAGATCGAACCACTCGTTCGTTCCAAAAACAAAAAACAACAAAAAAACAGATCGATAGCCCATTTTCGTTGTGTACCTGATCTTTTCTTAAGTAATATTAATTGTAATATCACCTTCCTTGAGTACAATAGTTGTAACATATGTCGTACGTACAGAAGCAGAAGTATAGGTTGCATAGAAGGTCGTATGGGCGAGGCGTCGGCAATAAGATTTCGCTTTTGAACTTTTATAATACTAGAGTTCAAGATATGAATGACAGCTGATTTTAGACTTTATCTTTACACGCATGAAAATAAAATCTAAAAAGCAAAACAGAAATACTGAGGAAAAAATACTCCCGACAATATTAGTAATAAAACTAGCAGTAAAATTACAGGTCAATGTAAAAATGAGTAATAATAAGTGAAATCGACCTCGACATAGAATAACCGAAATAAGTGAAGAAAATCATATGCGGATCAAGGCGGGATCTTGGATGCCTAAAAATATTTTTTCGCGTGAATTTCCGGTCTGTGCTCTTGTCGGTTTTTTGAAACACAGTTCCACTGGAAAAACATATCATGAATTAAATTGACAAGCAATTTAATGAAAACGAATATTAGCTTGTCTCGGCTCAATGCTAATAACACTTAGCTTAATGCTGTATATACATATATAAAAAATATGCACACATATACAGGTACATATATACATATATGTACATGTGCGTACATACGTACATGTGTATCTCTGAATATAAATACACTATATCTTGTACAGATTATACAGAAGAGTTATACTAGATAGGTAATAAAGATAAATAATAATAATAATAATAATAATAGAACGCATAATAAAGATGAATGTAGATATAAAGTAAGGAAGAACGTGAAATGTTAATTATAAAGTAAACATATAAACTGAAATGAAAAATGATATACAGAGAAACAGCTGATTTGCGGAAGGAGGACAGTCGAGATAATTAAAATATCTTATTGCGGCGCGGCGTGAGGCGCGAGTTCATGCAACACAAACGGGTTGCGTAGCGGCTATTAATAAAAGGAGCGATAACAGAATGAAGATAGTGACAGGGTGGCTTCGTACGATTCTGTCGACGCAAAGACGAGCTCTTCGTGCTCGCTCCCACGAAATAAGGATTTCGGAATAACGTCCTTTCCGAGGCGATTGATTCGATCGGGGGGAAGGGGAGGGGAAATATGTGTACGTGTATGTGTGACGTGCGAGCTTTAGTGGTGGTTTCTCTCGACGCCGGGATCGAATGCCGGAACGCGCGAGATTTATTTTCGTATTAACGTACAAATTGCTCAGTACGCGAAATAGTCGAACGTTTTACATTCCACTGGAGGGAGGGGGGAAGGGAAAGAAAAAGAAATGCACATATCAGAGTCACGGACGCATCGATCGCGAGCTGGTAGTTTCTCGCAGGTGCGAGGTGACGGGAGCTGCATGGGGTTGATTGTTGCACGCTCGCTACAGGTACGCGAATGCGGAGACGATCCGTGCGGAACCCGGTGCCTACACCCCCCGATACTCATGCTACACCGATCCGATGTATAATGTAAGAAACTCGTGGGGCTTATACGACAGTATCGAGTCAGTTAATCGCACGGGATAATAATCATCCAACCGGGCGGGAGGAGGGATGACTTAGTAATCGTCCACACCCGAGATATTTAATCTCGCCCCCCCCACCCGACTTCTCCCGACTGAGTCTCAAGCGCTCCCGCTCTCGTCCTTATCAGTAATTTACACTTACCTTCCCCGCAGTTTGATTACATTATTTAAGAAACCCGTAGCTTTAGCCTTCCCGATGCACTTTGTACGCAGACGGAACCCAAAACGAGGGTGAGCAATTTTTTATGTACATGTACAATATTGTAGCGCAGCGAGAGCCCAAGCTTCGCTTTTACGTTGCGCGACGCACAATTTTTAAACGAAGTGAAAAACTGAATGGAGTCCGAGGATTGAATAGTCAGAGAGTCGAGAGAATAATTGGAAAGTAAGTCGGAGACGGAAATTTTCATTTATTCGTGTAATATTTAATATTTTTCGTATAGATGTAAGAATTTTTTTATTCACATTCCATGTACGCTGCAGCTTCCAATTGTATATACCTTTAATGTGAGAAAATATTCTTCTTTTATAATTTATTTACGCGCGAACGAGGGCTGGGAGGAGTAACAGTGAGATTTATACATTATTACAAAAGGAGTGCCTCTATACGGATGCTCGCGGAAAAACGAGCGTGTATTATAAACAGTAGTATTATTTACAGTTACACGTTAGTATAATTTTATTGCCACATTTTATTCATCTTCAGGGCATCCAGAGGCGGACGTTAATACGTCGCTAATGGAGCGCTTTTTTTTTCTTTAAATCGCGCACGGGACGACTTTCACGTCGGCCTTTTAATCGGTGAAAAGCCATTAGATAAGAACGTATCCTACGGTACTCGAATACTTTTCGCAATGGCATTGAATATGTATACACGGGGAACGCAAAAAGAGTACGCGCGTGGTTCGTCTGTCCAAGTTATGGATCGTAAATGCAAGTAGTGTTTATAATATTACAATAGCAAGCCAACGCGTTATACGATGGATAAGTTGTGCGAAATTAAAGTGATCACGTACACGCGCGAGCGCGCGCTTCAACGCTGCCGATTGTTATTCTTCTACGGGGTGCACGCCTATATCTATATGCGTACACATAAGAAGCATATGTTATTTAACGCACTTGCTGATTTCCGTCACCCATGTGTAATCGCGAGCGCGCGGGATTGCACATGTATCGTAGGAGATATCGTATTTTTTTAAAGAGCGAACGCGTGCGACGTCAGTCGTAAGAGACTCTAGGTGTTTGTAATTACTATACGTATAATTTAATTAGCCTATATGCCGACACCTTTCGCGTGTGATTGTGATACGTCTCGTGATCGTACGTATGTGCGCGTGTCGCGGTAAATGCGTATGTACTGCTGTAATACTTACTTTTTACTCAAGACTATTTTTTTTTTTAAAGGAGCCAGTCCTATAAGGCGATGCTTTTTTTTATGGTCTCGCGATCGTGAAACATCGGGGATTTACACGTATCGCTGCACTAATAAGAAAGTAGTGACATAAGTAAAAAATGATAAGTCATTTTTTACTTATGTCACTTTTTTATCAATATATATACAACGATATATTTCTCCATTTCTGGATTGATTTATCCAGGAATGTTCGTAAGATTAAAACGAAAATGCTTTATACGCATAGAGATAATATATTTTTACACTTTTTACATTTTTTAATTTTTTTAAATTCTTACATAATTTTCATATACGGATCAATAATTTATCCCCTGGCCTAATGAATATTTGATTCACAGGCTTTATCATAGTCTTGTGCTGAGATTTTTTTTACATAAATCACATATGTACATAAATTTAAAAGAATAATATATAAATTGTTTATGAAGAATGAAGGAAGCGCTTTTTTTTATCGCGCTGTGCGGCTCACGAAATGTACGATCCGAATCCGAAGAACGCCCTGTTTCGTTGTCTTAATATCGTTCACATGTACAAAATAGTGTGTAACTATTCGTCAGTCATAAGGGAATAAAAAAAAACGCAAGAATTAAAAATGAAATGTTTCCCTCCCGATCGAGTTTCTCCCCTTCTTCAACCTTACACCGAATGAATGATCGCGCGCTCCCTTTGAAATCCCGCGTTTCCTCCCTTACCCTCGTTTTCCACCCTCGTGTCGTCAAATAAATCTTACAGGACAGCGATCGGTATCCTTCGACGTCGCGTCGGGAGAGCAGCAGCGACTGCCGGACTACCGCCGCAGCCCAACGACATCGGCGACATCGCTAAACCGGACCGTGCGAAAGCGCTCTTGTTCCAGCAGCTTGCACGACACTGATCTTGAATTTTTAATTCGCCAAACGAATGCAGTAAACAGGAACGTCACCGTAAGTTTCGATCTTATAATTTTAACGACCGGGTCCGATGATTTCCCCTCGGGCGGCAGTCTGTCGCGCGGATGATTCCGAAATGTTGAACATTAATTTTAGTAAACGGGCCACAAATTAAATTTTACGAGGGATTAGAGCTCGCTTGAAATGTACAGTTATACAGAAACGGTAAGATTTCATTATTGGATTGCGTTACAGGAAATCTTAATTCGCCAGAGTTTTTTTAACTTTCAGACACTAAATCATTTTACAATTAACTCAGACGAATTGCGATGAAGGGAAATTGGAATTAAATATTGCGATATCAGATACGTTGTGCATAACATTCTGCATGATGTTCTAGGAAAGATCTGTTCTATACGAGCGAAATCGACACAATCAAACATGAATTGCTAAACATTTTTCATTTCAAACAATTTTGCCTTTAAATCATGAACTTCTCTTTTTTCGTCAGCAAGTTTAAAGAATATGCACAATGTTTTACTTATGCCACTCACGCAAAATCCAGAGAATCGTTATTAAATACGAACTTAAACGCTTAGATTTGGATTACAGAAAAATATCATTTTTTTTTTTCATTTGTTTATTTCGTAGATAAAGAAGAAAGAGCGACTCATCTGTATTGCAGTTCTAAGGTGAGTTTTAAATCCACTACTGTGAACACGCGGCCGCGATCTAGACGGTCGGGGACTGTCCGAGATCGCGGAAAAACCTGTGGCGCGCTTTCTCGCAAAACGGTCCGCACGCGTTCCAAGATACCCCATGAATGCCATCCCCTCCCCTCTCGGCCGCCCGCACCTTTTTTTTTCTCGCACGCGGACGGATGAACGGACGGATGTGCGACCGAAACAACGAGCGATTTAATTTGGTGGCCACGCGTATGTAACGCGACGGACGGATGGACGCGGGCCGAAGCATTTTTTCGTCGGGACAGAATTTCCCTCTCTCTCTCTCGCCCTCTCTCCTTTTTTTTATTCCGTTCCGTCCTCTTTCCCTCCTCCCTCTCTTTCTCTCTCGTTCTCCTTTTTTTTGCTCCCCCGACGAAACAATTGGTTGGGGGGATGGAGTGCACGCGGAAGGGCGCGCGCGGGTATGGGGTGCTCGAGGCGGGCGCGTGTGAGGGTGGCGGATGAGGAGGTGGAGGAGGTGGAGGAGCAGGAGGAGGAGGAGGAGGAAGGGGGAGAGGGTGCGGCGGGATGGAGTGAGATTGGCGCGGTACAGAGAGCGCGCGCGGAGGTTGGATGAGAGAGATGAAGTGGCAGATTAACGTCAACCGACGTAGGCCATTCATAACTGGGCTCCACGGCCGCGGCCGTGTGTATGGCAGCGCGCGAACGAGGCGCGCGCGAGCGGGTGTATATACGCGGATACGCCGCGCGTACGTACATACATACATATACGTGCAACACGCGGGCGCGCGGTTGCTGTGTACGAGCCGTGGGGCCGAGCACACGACGATTTATAGAATTGGAAAAACGATATCGGAAAAATAGTAAACTTTATTGATGAATCCCTTCCCGACCTCTAAGCGATATCACAACGAGCGCGAGTCGACCGCATTCCCGCGGTGCTACAGGTGGCATGTAAGCCAATCGACGATTCCCTCCTCTTTCTCCTCCAACCGCCTCATCCCACCTTCCTCCCCCCGACCCCACCCCCTCTCACCCCCCGCGCGGTATCCCCCCTGGCCCCGTGCTCTTTAACTGACGCTTCCCGTCCTTCGTAAAAATGCCTTTGAAATTCGCCGAAATTAAAATCGTCGCGCGAAATACGGCGCGTGCCGCGCGCGGCTCGCGGAGGAGGAGGATGAGGCTCGCTTTCCCCGAGGAGGCGAGCTTCCTCCGAGAGCCTTCCTCGGAAGGCGCTCCTTACGCTCGAGTGTCTGAGATGCGGACGGAATTAGGTTCATTATCCAGTCTTCGCGCGTCTACGCTCGTTGTAATCAGGAAAACAGGTCGAATCGGTCGGAGAACGCAGTGACTGAATGACAGATTTGTAGTTTTATGCGAAATTGCATTAAGAAGCTCTTTCTTTTTACGTAAGAACTGCTTACGAGTGATATACATGTCACTTTTTATGCATACGGACTCCGACTTAACTAGATTTATCCATACTCGTACGATCGTTTATTTAATGTGAAAATGATCACGATTCTACACCTTTACTGGTTTCTTCTGATGAAAGAAAACGCGAAGATTTTCAGACTCGGTCCTTCCGATTCTCAAGTATATGTTAATGTTTGACGAATTTTATTCGACACGAGATATTTTAGGAAAAAGTTACAAACGCGCGTATCGGAATCCTGATCATTTAAGCTTTCCAACGTTCCGATTAAAAACATATATTTGTTGCGTGTGTGTGTATGCGTGTGTGTGTGTATGTGTTTTTTTTGTTACTCTATAGAAGAAGATCAATTAACATGCACCACGAAATCAGTATTTGTACCGGGGTTCTATTGGACGGTAGCACAATGTCCGATGCAGAGTGTAATCGAGTTCGATACCGGTAACCACGGGTGATTTTATTGTTATCGTATTTTGGCGTAAACCTCGTAACCCCGTAACAACGCATTATCGGCGACATCGAACATTGTTACTGCATGTTTGCCAATAAATAGCGCCTACCGCGTTTTAATCATTTTTACCTTCTACGCGCGATTCTCTCTCTCTCTCTCTCTCTCTCTCTCCCTGTCTCTCTCTCTCTCTCGCCTACGTTTCTTTGGATTCAAAAGGTTCCTGATGTCCGTGGAATATGCAAAAGCGTTACATGTATCGACGCCGTACGTCACCGTCTTATACATATATTCCATATCGAAGAGCGAGTTACTCAAAAATAGTAGATCTTCCTTCGAAAATTGTGGAAAATTTTATCAAATTATTCTTCGAGAATTTTAGGTGGCTGCCGAAAAATTAATTTTTTAATTCGATATATTCCCAAACTTAAAGCTTATATATTGTGAAGATTTATCTATATTCAAGGTTGAAAATTAAAAATTCGTGGCAAACAAACGAAACTCCACACCGGATAATTTCCGCCACTGAGAAAAATCGGGTCGCAAAAAATCTGTCGCGGAAAAACGGAACGATCGAAATTACTATAGGAACGTTATATATAATGTTTTATACGTTCGATTCGACTCCGAAACTCAAACGCCTCGCTCATGTATAATGCGGCGTATTTGTTCGCGTTCGCCGTGTACAAATGATGCGGAACGAGAGAGAGAGAGAGAGAGAGAGAGAGAGAGAGAGAGAGAGAGAGAGAGAGAGAGAGGATGGGGAAGGGAGGGAAGGAGGAAAGAGAAACAGACAAATGGCGCGTAGCCCCGAGCGTAATTTCAGAAGGAGCGTGACGCGGAATATAACGAAATAATATCTTCATCCCTGTGTGTGTGTACGTGTGTGCGCGTGCCGTATCCGCGTTATCAGTCGGGGCCATTTTTCAGAGAGCAACAAAAACCGGAGAAACTTCCGCGGAGATGTATTGCCAAAATTACTTTCCGCGGCGATAGCGGCGCGCGCGCAGCATGCGCGCGTATCCTTCGTCTCGGAATTGACGTTTGCGACCGGCGCTACGCGGACGGAACAAGCCGCGAGGGATCCCTTTAGTAACGAGAGACACGCAAAAATGTACGATTGAAAAATAGATCGCGTAATGAAGATATGAAAAATTGTAATAACGACAAATAAATAAAACTGAATTATATAATACATTTGAGGGAAACATGTATTTACGTGAGCAACGCGAGCTTGAGAAAAGCCGATCGGGAGGGAAAGAGAAGTTTCGGGACTGGAGAGAAAGTCGCATAAGGGAAAAATAGGTAAACAGAAGTATAGAAGAAAAATGTAGCAGGAATAAGTAAAATTTAAGTTATATAATTTATAGAACGTTGCAGAAAAAGAGAGAGAGAGAGAGAGAGAGAGAATATTGAACTCGCTTTGAACAACGCGAGTTTTCCGCGGAAGCCATTTTTCGAAAGGAAAAAAAAATAGAAGAGAATGCGAATATGAAAAATAGATCGATAAAAGTAATAATGTTATACGTAAGATTGTATAAATAATGTAACAGGAAAAAAAAAGTTGAGAATTAAATTATATATGTCGAGTTTTCTCGCGAGAAAGAGAGAGAGAGAGAGGCAAAGTTTTCCCGACAGTGCAGCACTATGGTGGTACCGCAAAGTGAAGTACTCGCGGTACCCCATTCGCCTCTGGAGAGCACGACTTTTTTGCCTGTAAACGAAATATTCTAACAATCGCCGGGGAAACACCAGAGTGAAGGGAGGAGGAGGAGGAGGAGGTGGCGGTGGAAGGGGAGGAGGGCGGCAGTAACCCGATATTCGTTTCGAAAAATGATTGAGTCCCCCGTTAAAAATTACATCTCGCGATATCGCGTCGACGGCGGACGGCGAATATCGACGCTAAACAACCTGCCGTTATATCGATCGCGTCTCTGCTCGATAATACGATCGAATATTGATGCCAACGTTTCCTAATTAGAGCACAGGGGGACGACTGTACCTCGCTCGTGCGTTACAGTTAGGTATACATTCCGTCGTGTGAACGGGAAGACTACGAATCTCTTTCCTCTTCGATGAGCTTCGAGATGTACAATAATCGTGAGACCGTCGCGATATTTGCGCATTTCGAAAGCCATCGACGGAAAAAATATTTCAGTTTTCTTGTCAGAGACGATGAAATTTAATTGATTAATCGTGAGATCGTTTTCTGTTTGTCGAGGATGATAACGAAAATTTTTTTTCGTTTGCACCACAAGACTGTTCGTGTGAAATTCTTGAGAATTCAGTTATCTAATAGCAACGTATTAGCGAAACGCAACTGATCGTAAATGAAAATTTAGGAGGGCGCGTACCCGTGCGAAACGCACATATTTTTCGGAAAGTAGCGTATATATAGTCGGAACTTTTCGACGTGGACATATCGCGACAATTTATAGTCGTATTTGATTCAAATTCATCGCGCCCCCGACTCAACCCATGGGACCGCTCCCCCTCCCCCCGCCCCCTTTTTTGTCTCGTATATTATAATAACATTCACGGCGAGAATGTTAGCCGGCACCGTAATTATTTATGGTAGAATAAACCCGTTCTCTCTCTCCTGGCTTGCGCGCGCGGCTACGCGTAATATGATGTACGTATAAGTTTCTTAAGAATTTTATTACGCTGTAACATTATATTAGGAGGAAACAGCGTTACATTAGCGTATAATTATGCAGCGTAATACTAACGAAATTATGTTACAATTTCGCGTAACGTTACATCAGCGATATCAATAAGCTCCGAAAATTTACTTACGCGGAGGCGCGGCTCATACCTCCCTCGCGTAACGCCGCCGTTAAAGTCGAAGGTTTAAAAACGCAGCCCGGGAGCGGTATATGGGTAGACACAGAGGCGTCCCGGCGTCGCTTCGGCGAATCGCTGCGGCGACGCCGAAGCTGCGACCCGGGCGCGCGTGTGTATAAGGAAATTCGATTTGCGCGGCGGCACCCGGCGTAAAAAATTAACCGGCCGTAAAATCAATCGGCCGGAGTATTTTTCGATTTGGAAATGCCCGGCGCAAAATTCATCCGGGGCAGGGGGGAGGGGGACGAACGGACGGATTTTAATCGTAACGCAAATACA